CGCTGTGGCTCAAGTGGTAGAGTGCTAGCCTTGAGCTGAAGAGCTGAGGAACAGGACCCAGGCCCAGAGTTCAGGCCCCATGACCGGACCCAAAAAAACAAAACAAAAGGAAAAAGATGTTGAAGCAATTTTATTTTTTTAAAAAAGCATCAGACTTTTTTCCATATGGTTCATAACTATAGCTTCATACAAGCCTAGTTTTGCTTGTAGTCATTATCCAATGTTACTTGCAGTATCATTTTTATTTCTTTGCTGTCCTGTTAAGTTTGTTGCTCGTTTTCTTAATTTCTCATTTTTATAAATTGTCATGAGATTAATCTGAGCAAGAGGGCAATAAAACTAATGATGATCTGTAAACTAATGAAATAACAACAAACTAGTTTCAGCTAACACTGAAGTTTTAACCATGTTGTTCGAGGACTAGGTTTACATGTGGTCCTCAAAAATCACACGTTGGAAAATTGCAACTCCAGGACTACCTGTACCAAAAAAAGCAAACAAATATTAATTACTTTAAATTATTTAAAAGTATTTTAATGACTACTACTAAACAAATCTAATCCTAGATCAAATAAAAATGAAGTTTTCTCAGATTTTTTTTTTATTTAAAACTTAATTACAGCCAGGTGCTGGTGACTCACACCTGTAATCCTATCTACTGAGGAGGCTGAGATCTGAGGATCGTGGTTCAAAGCCAGCCCGGGGAAGCAAAGTCCATGAGACTATTATCTTCAATTAATGACCAGAAAACTGAAAGTGGCACTATGGCTCAAGTGGTAGAGTGCTAGCTAGCCTTGAACTGAAGAGCTCAGGGACAACACCTGGGCCCAGAGTTCAAGCCCAGGATCTACAAAAACAAACAAAGAAAAAACCAACAAACCACTGAATTACAACCATCACAAAGCACAAATAGTAGTAGCAATGCCATTTGCCACTTAATAGTGTGTTTAGCTAGACAGAGACTGCCATTCAGTGTTTTGTTGTTTTTTGTTTTTTTTGGGGGGTCCGGTCATGGGGCCTGAACTCTGGGCCTGGGCGCTGTCCCTCAGCTCTTCAGCTCAAGGCTAGCACTCTACCACTTGAGCCACAGCGCATCTTCCGGCTTTTTTCTTTTTGCTTATGTGGTGCTGAGGAATTGAACCCAGGGCAAGACAGCACTCTACCACTGAGCCACCTTCCCAGCCCCTTTATTGTTTTTTTTTTAATGTTTCATAAATCTTTGCATAAGGGCTTTAAAATCAACTTTTAGGTTTGTATAAATTTAAGGAATAAAAAAATACAAAACTATAATATAGGTAGGGAGCCTAGCTACTCAGGAACCTAGGATTTAAGAATCAAGGTTCACAGCCAGGCTGAGCAGACAAATTCAAGACTCTTAACTCCAATTACCAGCAAGCAGCTGGAAGTGGAGGTGTGGCTCAAGCAGACTACCAGCCTTAAGCCAAAATGCTAAGAGAAGGCATAAGGCCCTGAGTTCAAGCCCTAGTACTATCATAATAAATCATACATACACAACCACCTTACAAAGGTTATTAGATATATATATATATATATACACACATATATATAAATAATCAAATTTGAAAAATGTCTCAAACATGCCTGATCAGTGATAGAACTGGTATTCTGATTCCCAGCTTCCTCTTCTTTCCAATATTGTTCCTTCCTATTAATTTGTTCCCAGTTGATAGGACTATTATTCCCTGGTATATTTAGGAGTCATGATTTTTACCAATTTCAGGGACTAAAAAGATTGTATCATGGGGCTGGGAAAGTGGCTCTGTGGTAGAGTGCTTGCCTTGCATGCATGAGCCCCTGGGTTCGATTCCTTAGCACCACATAAGCAGAAAATCCAGAAGTGGCACTCTGGCTCAAGTGGTAGAGTGCTTGCCTTGAGCTGAAGAGCTGAGGGACAGCACCCAGGCCGAGTTCAGGCCCCACAACTGGCAAAAAAAAAAAAAAAAAAAGATTGTATCATTATTTTTAAGGAAAGAGGACTTTTTGACCTTTGCCAATTGCATTTCTAAAATCTAATCTATTAATCATCTTATTCTCTAGTAAATATCAACTTTCCATTGATCGAATAAAGCTCTTACCTTATTATATACATCTTCAAATTCTTGATCAAATATATTTGACTAATGATGCTTTCTAAGAAAATACTTTTCAATTTTATTCCTGGAACAGAAAAACATTGACAGGCAAATCACTAAAATTACATTATATAATTAAATCTCACGATTTCCTTTTCCTATAATGTCCTCATCCACATACATTAATCACAACAAATCATGATGTGAACAGCAGTAGAAAAGTTTAATCATTGAACATTTATACTTTCTCATTTTGAAGCTCTACTAATGTTTTTTTATCGCGATAGTTCTTTATTATCTAGCAAGTGTATATTTTACTATTAGTGGAAAAAAGTAACTGATTAAGAAAGATTCTTTTGCTGGGCGTCAGTGGCTAAGGCCTAATTCTAGCTACTCAAGAGGCTAAGATCTGAGAACTGTGGTTCAAAGCCAGAGTGGGCAGTAAAGTCTGTAAGACTCTTATTTCCAATTAACAACCCAAAAGCCAAGAAGTAGAGCTATAGCTCAAATGGATGAGTACTAGCCCTTGCACAAAGAAGCTCAGAAGAGCATCCAGACCTGAGTTCAAGCCCCAGGACCAGCACAGACACAAACACACCCCAAAGTTTATTCCAATACAGGTGCTTATTTATTTTAAGCATTTGAAGATTACAGGCTCATGCATGTAGTAACTCATCCTGTTCAGGAGGCTGACACCTGAGGTTCAAGGTTCAAAGCCAGCTCAAGCAGTAAAGGTCCAAGAGATTCATCTCCAACAAACTACTCAGAAAAAGTCAGAAGGGCTGGGAAGGTGGCTCAGTGGTAGAGCGCTTGCCTTGCATGCATGAAGCCCTGGGTTATATTCCTCAGCAGCACCACATAAGCAAAAAGAAAAAAGCCGGAAGTGGCGCTGTGGCTCAAGTGGTACAGCGCTAGCCTTGAGCTGAAGAGCTGAGGGACAGCGCCCAGGCCCAGAGTTCAGGCCCCATGACCAGACCCCCCCCCAAAAAAAA